AAGCCCATTTTCATGTAGGATGCAGCGGAGGAGAGAAGGTGAAGAGACGGAGGGACTAGACCAGGGCGAGGGATTCCGTGCAGGGGATCTGGCATGGCGATGGATTGGCAGAAGGGCAGAGGCGTCAGAACTCCTGGAATTTAAAGCGAGAGAGAGAGTCAGCAAGACAGTTAGGTGACGAGGGACGTGACGAGCAGTGATGATAAAATGTTCAGGACTGAGAGCCATGTGATGCGTCTAAGGAGGGTGTGATTTGGGGAGAGGATGAACAACCTCTGTTAATTATTTTAATGACGTCGAGGTCGTCGCACGTCACGGAAATCCTTTCCTATGCCACGTATGGTTCCGCAGCACGCAGGCTACGGTCATGGGATATATCTCGTGGAGCGCGGAGGAGATGCTTCGAGGGAAAGCGTCGGGCCGGGGCCCGGCGAACCACTGGTCCTGGAAAACCCCCAAAACCCACGGACGGGGCTGCGTCCGTGAAGAACCGCGGGGCATCTGAGACAGGATGATGTCACTGTAAAAAAAAAAAAAAGAGATACACCGTCCCGGCGGCTCTGCAGACGGGACCGGAACGCCAGGTCGGAGCGGCGCCCCGCGTCCGGGCAGACAGCATCGTTGAGGGAGGAGACGGAGCCGGCGAGGGAGAGGAGTCTGGAATAAAAGAACGACCTTGGGGAATGATACGGACGGTATAATGAAGATGCCCGAGGAGGGAGAGCAAGGACCCCTCGAAGTGACGGGAAGGCCAAGGCAGACCGGGAGAAACGCGGATGCGTTCGAGCTCGTCCAGCGGGAGGGAGGCCTCCATGGCGTGTGTGTCGAGGCGGATGCCGAGAAACTCCAGAGCGTTGGCGGGGCCTGTGGTCTTTCCGGAGTGGAGGAATCCGAGGGCAGAGAAGGCGGGCCTGAGCTTGCGGAGAGAGCCCCCGGAGCAGTCTGAGGGTGGGTTGACTACGAGGGAAGCAGAAACGGACACGGCGCCTCCGAGAGATTGTTGAACAGAGAGGGACTACTCCGGCAGACAAAGGTGAGGCGCACTGCGAAGAAGAACTCCGACGCCACTTGACCCCTGAACAGTGGTCGGGTGGGTCGGGGTGGATGGCAGCAGCTTGAACGCGTCCGGGATGACGGCCTTGGAGAGCCAGGAGCCGGGGCCGAAAGTCTTTATCAGCCTGATCGCGTGGTCCATGGTAGCGGACTGCAGGGAGAAGGGCGCTGGAGGGAAGGGGCTGTGGATGCTCGGGCGGGCCCGGAGCGGGGACAGGAAAGGACGAGTATGAGACGCTTCTTCCTGGAGTGCTTGCGGGTGGCGATGCCCATCGGGTTAGAGCGAGACGGAGAGAAGGGGCCGATGACGTAGCCCACGGACACCTCCCGCGCCCGAGCCGCGTGCCAACTTGGGGCTCACGGAGAGCCGGGAAGAGGTTGCGGGACACGAGACGCCGAGGGACCTAAACAGAGCTTGCAGTCTAATGTGAGGGATTTAAATAGAGCTTGCAGTCCAAGTGAGGTATTAAAACTGAGCCCGCAGTCCAAGTGAGGCGTCTAACGGAGAGCCTGCAGTTCGGTGCGAGGGAGTTAAACGACCTGTAGTCCGAGGTGAGGGATTAAACTGAGAGCTTGTAGTCCAGGTGACGGATTCAACATAGCCCGCAGTCCTAAAAGAGGGATTTATAACTGAGAGCTTGAAGTCCGAGTGAGGGATTAAACCGAGAGCTGCAGTCCAGTGTGAGGGATTTAACAGTTGTTACGGTCCAAGTGAGGGATTAACTGAACCCGCAGTCCAAGTGAGGAGTTTAACCGAAAGCCTATAGTCCAGTGTGAGGGATCCAACAGAGCCTGCAGTTTATTTAACACTAGAAAACCCAACCGAAATTGGCCCCTGTTTTGAGAAGAGGGAGCTAACTTGCTAGGTTGGCTGCTAACATTTGCATGTATTGATTTGCAAATGTAGGTAATGACTTATAACAGCAGGGGGCTGGGGTGGGCTTTGTTTATTCGTGCGGGGGAGGAAGAGCTGCAAGAGAGTACTACAGTAGTCTGTGAGACCACAGATACACATGTGCTATGTACCCTGAGAATGCGCTGTATATATTTTGTAATCAGTTTTTCTCAGTGTCTTTGGTGCATTTTTCACATAATTCTTCACATTTTAACAACAGTTAGTGCATTTCTCAGAACAATGAGTGCAAACTGCAAAACCTCATGGATAACCTGCTAAAAAGTCACTTTCTCAAAATGAACTTAATTCCTCAAAAGAAAGTCTTCATGTCAATGAAACGGTCTGTGTCTCAAAAGAATAAGTCCTGACATCAGTGTTTATGAACAACAGTCAAATGATTTAGTCATGTTTTCATTGTGACTGTATTTAGTGATACATATGTATGTACTGTATGTTCACATATTTACTGCTTATGCTCTTTGCAATTCTACAGCATTCTGCAACAAAAATAGTACACATACAGTATTTACGTAGAAAAACATACAAAAAATCATTACGGTAGAACCTCCACAACATTGAGTCGTGTGTGACATCATCGCGGCAGTTTCTCCTTTGAACACTTTACAAATGCTTTTGGACATGTATCAGTTACTTTCATACAGTTCTCTGCTGTTTTATAACATTAACATTTGCTTCTGTCCTGTCAATCAGAATGAAACATACTTTCACGACTGAATAGTTTCTGTAAAACCAGTAGTCCTCATTTCATCGCTTTGGTCATCACATACAAAACTGTTCAAAACCAAAATCTGTCAAACTAATTTCATACATTACTTTATCTTTTTATATCCAGAAAATCTTTCCTAATTTCGAATTTCAGCTTCACTCATGACGAGGTGTGTGTTTTATTGTTTACATTTGTCACAGTTCTACCATAATGATATTCTGTATGTTTGCTCTATGTATGTGACTGTATTTCTGTTGCACAATGCTGTAGAATTGCAAAGAGCATATGCAGTAAATATGTGAAAGACATACAGTACACAGACATACATCGAAACACATACATGCACAAACACACACACACAGTAAATACATACATGCACAAACACACACACACATACAGTACATACAGTATAAATGTTTCTTTTACTCTCACTAAATACAGTTGTGTGTAACTTTACTGTAGTTTTCAGCTGTACAGTGCTCACCAAGATCTGATTTTTTGCTTTGAAAACACAGAGAGTAAAGTGTCACAATGAAAACGTGACGAAGTCATTTGACTGTGTTGTTCATACTCCATGTTGTTAAGACTTATTATTTTGAGACAGACAGTTTCCTCGACATGAAGACTTGCTTTTGAGGAATAAACTTTTCATTTTGAGAAGGTGATGCACTTTTGCAGGTTATCCCCAAGGTTTTGCAGTTTGTACTAATTGTTCTGAGAAATGCACTAACTGTCGTGCAAATGTGAAGAATTATGTGATAAATGCACCAAAGACACTGAGAAAAACTGTAAGTAGCATATTTATTTTGTAAACAATGTAAATGTATACATTGAATGACGTTGCTCGTTTGTTTTCTTTCAATTCACTTTATTATTTTCATTATTATTTTTTAACTAAAGTCAGCATGACACTAGATTTAACTCATTTTAACTAATCAGATCCTCCCTCTCCCGAAGAAGACAAAGTAAAGTGGTTGAGCAACGTCAGCTCAGCCTGTGATAATGGCCTTATTTACATAACAAAGTTGGCCGTTCACAGGTGATTTAGTTTGTTAGCTAAAATCCTTGGAGTCATTTGGCACCGTGGTGGGCTTTTTAGGTAGAAGTGCCAAATGGCACCTCCATGGGTTTGCTAGTGTTAATTTATTTATTTATTTATTTATATTTATTCATATTTATATTTATTTATATTTATTTATTCTTATATATAAGCGTTCCAGATATGAGCAGAACCATATTTTTCTTCTTTTCCTGTCCAGAGGGATTCAAACGGGGCTTGCAGGCCAAAGTGAGGGATTAAAACTGAGCACGCAGTCCAATGTGAGGGATTAAACTGAGATCTTGCAGTCCAATGTGAGGAATAACGGAGCTTGCAGTCAGAGTGAAGGATTTAACGGAGCTTGGTTAAGAGAGCCTGCAGAACATGCGAGGGCTTTAAAATGAAGCTGGCACACCAATGCACGGGGCCAACTGAGCCTGTAGTACAATGCGAGGGGAATAAACCGTCCGCAGGTCTCATACTTACCCACAACGCCAGAAGACAGGGACAACACGACGGGACCACGCCGTACCGGCACGAGGAGGCAGGGATGCGCACGGCTCCCACCGCACCGGTCCAGACCGGCCGTATGCAGCAGCAGGCCGCGACGAGACGAGCAGCGGCGGACCCGCAGAAAGAGCCCGCAAAGGAGGAGAGCGGCAAAGACCCACGGACCACAGCACGAGACCCGCAGCAGGTGCAGCCACAGGAGGAGCAGACCACACGCAGCAAGACAGAGGACAGCAGGGACACATGCAACGAGTAAGCGTGAGTAGACAAGCGATTCCTCCAGAACGGTTCTATGCAGGCTTCGAGAAGGCCGAGAATGGGAGTTCCTCCGCTTTTAAGCAGCTTGCCTGGCTGGACCGGTGATTGGAAGGGGGCGTTTGCCGTGCGATAGGCTGGGGATGAGAACCGGCCTGGAGGGGTTACCTTTGGCTGACGTCTACCAAATTGAACTTTCGCTGGCTGCATATCACTGTTTCCAATATTCTGCTCTGAAACATTTGCTATACAGTACCTGTCATAGTGTTTAGTGATGTATTTAAAACATTAATAAACACTATGATAGTAACTATTTAGTGATAGTAATATGCTATTTATTTTTCTGGATAATAGATTATTTTATTGAAGCTAAGATTTCTTTCTAAACTGGACTTTCAATCGAAGCAAGAAGTAATAAAGACTCAGAGACCACCGCCGGATTCATGAGGTTTGTTTCAAATAGTGTGAGGAACTAGTCTCTCCCTCCTCATGTCTCTCCCTCCTCATGTCTCTCCCTCCTCATGTCTCTCCCTCCTCATGTCTCTCCCTCCTCATGTGTCTCCCTCCTCATGTCTCTCCCTCCTCATGTCTCCCCCTCCTCATGTCTCTCCCTCCTCATGTCTCCCCCTCCTCATGTCTCCCCCTCCTCATGTCTCCCCCTCCTCATGTCTCTCCCTCCTCCTGTCTCTCCCTCCTCATGTCTCTCCCTCCTCACGTCTCTCCCTCCTCACGTCTCCCCCTCCTCATGTCTCCCCCTCCTCATGTCTCTCCCTCCTCATGTCTCTCCCTCCTCATGTCTCTCCCTCCTCATGTGTCTCCCTCCTCATGTCTCTCCCTCCTCATGTCTCCCCCTCCTCATGTCTCTCCCTCCTCATGTCTCCCCCTCCTCATGTCTCCCCCTCCTCATGTCTCTCCCTCCTCCTGTCTCTCCCTCCTCACGTCTCTCCCTCCTCACGTCTCTCCCTCCTCACGTCTCCCCCTCCTCATGTCTCCCCCTCCTCATGTCTCTCCCTCCTCACGTCTCTCCCTCCTCATGTCTCTCCCTCCTCATGTCTCTCCTTCCTCATGTCTCCCCCTCCTCATGTCTCTCCCTCCTCCTGTCTCTCCCTCCTCATGTCTCTCCCTCCTCCTGTCTCTCCCTCCTCATGTCTCTCCCTCCTCAGGTCTCCCCCTCCTCGCGTCTCTCACTCCTTGCATCTCCCCCTCCTCATGTCTCCTCCTCCTCAGGTCTCTCCCTCTTCGCGTCTCTCCCTCCTTGCGTCTCTCACTCCTTGCATCTCCCCCTCCTCATGTCTCCTCCTCCTCAGGTCTCTCCCTCTTCGCGTCTCTCCCTCCTTGCGTCTCTCACTCCTCAGCAGTGCTTTAAGTGACCGGTACGCGCCGGTACACAGTACTGGCACTTCCAAAAATAGCTCTTGTGCGTACCACCACCTCTCCATGCGCAAAGAACCTACTTTAGGCGTACCGGTACTGAGTCTATGACTAGTCCACGCTCATTTGCACATCTGTTTAGATTCTTGCGGTGCAAAAATAAATATGATAAAAATGCGTAATTTTTGTTAACACAGTAGTTTTTTTGGGTAACGCTTTATATTAAGGTGTGCTTGTTAAGTATTAATAAGGTATTAATAGACATTAGCAACATGCTTATAGATTGCTTATATGTACTTATAAACATATTAATAAGCTGCTTATTTCACTATTCTCTAAATGATGTTGTTCTAGTTATATGCTTTTAAGCATTTGATAAGTAATTAGTAAGATACTTATTAAAGGAGGAATATGTCTATAAATATATGAATAAGCTGCTTATTAAACTATTATCGATACCATGTTAATAGGCCACTAACAATATGCCTATAAAGATATTAATACGCTGCTTATTAATAGGTAATAGTGGTAATAGGCCACTAAAAATATGCGTTAATAAACTGCTTATTACACTATTTTGCAGTACCCTAATCTAAAGCGAGGAGCATTTTTGTTAATGCAGAAAAAAACACAACAATGATCTAAGATGTTTTTATTTATTCAAACAGCAACAATTAAAGTCTAAATGAAAAAATATATAAAAATTAAGTTTGTACCAAAAGTTTGTTAGTAACTTCAAGGAGCCATGATGCCCCTACTCATGCTCCGACCTGCTCTGTTAATGAATTTGGCTTTGGCAAAACAGTGAATCAACTGACTTCACGAGCCTGAGAGATCAGCGGACAGGGGTGGGAACCTAAGGGTACCTCACGATACGATACGATACACGATACAAAGCTCACGATAAAGATTACAATAACGATTTTATCACGATATGACGATTATTGATATATTGGTCAGAAATATACGATATGCCAATTTATGGCATAAATAAAATAAAAAATACTCTTTATTTCATGATAAATCGAATGGAGATGTATAATGTAGCCATATATTAAGTATTGATACCAATAAAAACGAAAAAAAATAACTTTTTTGTTTTTGTTTTCAAAACTGATCTTGATACTTGGCAAATGCATATTGATAATCGAATCACGGAAGAAAGTATCGTCACACCCCTATTAGCGGAACTCGCCTATTTTTGGGCATCGTCTGGTCCTCCCGGTTCTGCGCAGTTGACGAGCTCCCATGATGCTTTGCGCCAAATACGCGTGCGTGGCTGTCATGCACATGCACATAGGGGCCCCGCTCTGACCAATCAGAGCTGCTGATCAGAGTGGGAGTTAGGGCGGGAGTAAGAGCCAGACGATTAGAGTTTGTGGCAGTAAAATGTGGATTTAAAGAAAACCGAAGGATTTTTTTTTTTTTAAGTTCAGGATGACAAGGGACACTAAAATCCCCACAAAATCCGACCTTTATGAAAGCTGTAGGTTCTCTGTCTGCTGAGGTCGAGCTGTTTTAGTTTACATTGAGTTCTATGGGGACAATTTCTGGGTAGCCCACGTGAATTTAGTTTGCAGTACCACGAGAATCTCCCAAGCTACAAGCTAGTAATACCCTATCCAGTTATTGTAATAGATCCATGTATACAACGCACCTGTGGCACAACCATGGAACTATAATAATAACTGGATAGTGTATTCCTAGCTTATAGCTGTCCCACCCATGGGCACAGGGGGCGCTGTGGTACTGCAGACTAAATTCACAAGGGCTACCCCGAAAAAGTCCCATAGAACTCAATGTAAATTAAAACAGCTCGACCTCAGCTGACAGAGAACCTACAGCTTTCATAAAGGTCGGATTTTGTGGGGATTTTAGTGTCCCTTGTCGTCCTGAACTTTTTTTCTTCTTAAATCCTTCAGTTTTCTTTAAAGTGGTTCTCACCCCCGCTCCTCGGAGCTTACGTCACTCACATTTCCTGTTCAAATCTTCCTCTAAATGGGCGTAGCCTGGAGGACTAAAGGGGGCGTGAACGAGACTGGGCCGTTTATATAGCTCTGGGCGGGGGGCTGCTGACGTCAGGTCTCAGGCGCCAGATTCAAAATTCAAATGTAGTAATACAGGTCGCCAGCAGATGGCGCCTCACAGATGGTTTTAGGCAGAAAGTTTAACTTTCAACTAATTTGCACCAAAGTGACAAAATTATGACCAGGATATGTAGACAACACTATTGGACACTCATTTATACCGTTTATCAGCAAAAAAAAAGTGGACTCGTCTGGCTCCCGCTCTAACTCTCGCTCTGATCAGCAGCTCTGATTGGTCAGAGCACGGCCCCTCTGTGCACGTGCATGACAGTCACGCAAGCGTATTTGGCGCAAAGCATCATGGGAGCTTGTCCACTGCGCAGAACAGGGAGGACCAGACGATGCCCAAAAATAGGCGAGTTCTCTCAGGCTCGTGAAGTCAGTTGATTCACTGTTTTGCCAAAGCCAAATTCATTAACAGAGCAGGTCGGAGCATGAGTAGGGGCATCATGGCTCCTTGAAGTTACTAACAAACTTTTGGTACAAACTTAATTTTGATATATTTTTTTCATTTAGACTTTAATTGTTGCTGTTTGAATAAATAAAAACATCTTAGATCATTGTTGTGTTTTTTTCTGCATTAATAAAAATGCTCCTCGCTTTAGATTAGGGTACTGCAAAATAGTGTAATAAGCAGTTTATTAACGCATATTTTTAGTGGCCTATTACCACTATTACCTATTAATAAGCAGCGTATTAATATCTTTATAGGCATATTGTTAGTGGCCTATTAACATGGTATCGATAATAGTTTAATAAGCAGCTTATTCATATATTTATAATTGTATACCTCCTTTAATAAGTATCTTACTAATTACTTATTAAATGCTTAAGAGCATATAACTAGAACAACATCATTTAGAGAATAGTGAAATAAGCAGCTTATTAATATGTTTATAAGTACATATAAGCAATCTATAAGCATGTTGCTAATGTCTATTAATACCTTATTAATACTTAACAAGCACACCTTAATATAAAGCGTTACCTTTTTTTGTACTTAATTCATCTTAATTAACGCGTTAAAGTCAAGGCACTCACAGTCTGGCAGCTTGCCTATCTTACCTATCCTGGTATTTCAATTTGGAGAGACGTGAACAAGAAGCTTTTGAGTATTTTATTTAGGAGGAAGTTTTGGCGCCCTAGGCCCCGGTGCGGCCTTCAGAGCGGAGGGCCTCCATGCGAAGGAGCGTGCCAATCCCCCGGGACCTAGGCACTGGTGGCGGCATTTGGCAGCGGGAAGCAGGTTGAAGGCGGATTGAAGGCAGGGTGAAGAGGAGGAGGAGGGGAGGCGGTGGTTGCAGGCTTCGAGAAGGCAGAGAATGGGAGTTTCTCCGCTTTTAAGCGGCTTGCCTGGCCGGTGCGGTGATTGGAAGGGGCGTTTGCAGCGCGATAGGCTGGGGAAGAGAACCGGCCTGGAGGGGTTACCTTTGGCTGACGTCTACCAAATTGAACTTTCGCTGGCTGCATTTCAATTTGGAGAGACGTGAACAAGAAGCTTTTGAGTATTTTATTTAGGAGGAGGTTTTGGCGCCCTAGGCCCCGGTGCGGCCTTCAGAGCGGAGGGCCTCCATGCGAAGGAGCGTGCCAATCCCCAAAAAGCTGTGTTGATGGAGTTTTTTGCAGCCTGGTTTGGAGGGGACAGAACGACGAGACTACTCTATGCTGTGACCGCTATCGCTATATACTGTGACCGCTATCGCTATATACTGTGACCGCTATCGCTATATACTGTGACCGCTATCGCTATATGCTGACGACCATCATGCGCTAATCATTTTTTGCTATATACTGTGACCGCTATCGCTATATACTGTGACCGCTATCGCTATATACTGTGACCGCTATCGCTATATACTGTGACCGCTATCGCTATATACTGTGACCGCTATCACTATATACTGTGACCGCTATTTGCTGTGACCAAACTTGCGGATACTCAGCTGCAGCCGCCACCAGGAGTTTAGCGAGTGTTTTATGGAGATGCAAAAAGCCGCTGGGCTGCCAGGATGGTCGAGGTGTCAGGCCTGATGTATGAGGAGAGGGCCGATGATGACCAGCGGCCCAGCTGCTGAAGGGCGGAATGGGGGAGCCCCAGTGACGCGGCGCGCGTGGCGGCGCCTATCCGAGAGGAGTGGGCTGTGTAGAGATGGGGAGACAGATTACGAAGCAGCAGTACGTACTTGAGTTGGGCTCTGAACCAGTTGGGGGACATAGGGAGGTTATCAGGGGTAAGAAATGACGGTCCGTTGAGATCTCCTTTCCGAGAGCGGAGGCGAGTGTAATGCATCATGGATCGTGACAGCAGAGGGCGGAATGAGTGGAATGCAGTGGGCGTGACAGAAGCTGGAGTAGACTTTCCACACGAAGCTGTATGATTTCAGTGTGGAAGGTGAGAGACCCATCTTCATGTAGGATGCAGCGGAGGAGATGAGGAGGTGAAGAGACGGAGGGACTAGTCCAGGGCGAGGGATTCCATGCAGGGGATCTGGCATGGTGATGGGTTGGCAGAAGGGCAGAGGCGTCGGAACTCCTGGAAGTCGAGATTATCACGCATGACGGAGATCCTCTTTCTCTGCGAGGTGTTATTCCGCCGCGCGCAGGCCACGACCACTGGGAATATCTCGTGTAGGGCAGAGGAGATGCTCCGGTGGAAAGTAGCGGCCACGGCCCGGCAACCCAATGGTCCTGGAAAAAACCCCCAAAACCCACGGAAGGGCCACGTCCGTGTAGAAGCGGAGACCTGTAGGGGCAGAGACATATCGGAGAGGGCCATTGAAGTTGCAGGCGCCCTTACGCTTAGAATCTTGGGTTGGAGAGTAGATAATCAGGATAGTAGGATGGTCGGGAAAAGCCGTGTCTCGGACCGCCTGAAGGGTGAGTGAGCAGTAGTGAAACGCTTATGCAGAGAA